CTAACTGATTCGTGAAACGACAGATAACGTTATTCCTCAGATTTAAGCTTCATTCTTCAGATAACAGTAATGTAACTATTGAAAAATCTAAAATTACGCTAACTGTGGAATAAACTGTTTATCTGATGATTAAAAAACCTAAATAATCTTGATCAAAATACAACCAAATACTCGCTTTAAAACCAATAATTTTCATCTACTTCACAATTGAATCTCTCTCTGTTTGAAGGCTATGTTACAGAACTTAAATTAAATTAGTTTCCGACGGCGTCTGAATTCTAGATCCTTATTGGAGTAGTGAAATGTCAATAGAATTTATTGAGTTTGTAGATCTATTGGAGTAGTTCTCAAGTGACTGGATATTGTAACACTAATTTTTATTTAAGCATCGGTTGTTTGGTGTGTGACGGATTAAGAATACGGAGTGTCGCCACTCTTATTCATCCCTTGGGTGTCATAAGAGCCGACTAAGGGAGCATACTGCAGGACAACAGCACTTAAAAGAGAAGGAAAACTTAAAACAAACCCGATTTGAATCTAAGTTGTCTGTTCTATTGCTTTAGCTAGAGTTTGTGATCCTGACTGCTTTTTTGGCTTACCATTTCTTTATTTATCTACATTTTATATTGACAGCCTGGGTGGTGCAATGGTAGCGGAAGTTTGTGGTCGCCTCTGTTGCAAGCGCCATGAACTGAGCGCTTTGGTGCTTTGGCGCGCTAATACGCCTTTGTTTAAAATTTCTTCAAACATTGAATATATAAGTTGTACTCGTAGTAGATGAAGTTAGGTAAAATGAACATTATTCAAAAACATTATGTTATTGTCATACGCACTTATTTTCGGATAATAAAAGACAGGATATTAGAGAGTGTACTTCAAATGGAAGAACTTTAACTCCACTCAAACTCTCTATATTTCATTTAAAAAAATAATTGAAATCGTCTTTTACTCTAACCAACACACACAATAGCAACAATCTCTGTTTTGTCAAACGATAAGCAAATAAATTTAATAAAAATTAAACTTACACACACACACACACTCTACAATAAAATATCTTAAATAAATTAAGAGTACTACTAGAATACTTTAACAGACAATTACATAAAAGCTGGTTGTGATTCACTTCATTCTTTCTTCAAGAAATACCTTGCTTGTAGACGATTTATTCTCAGTTAATCTTTCTTCGTAACGTTACGTTCTTTCATTCCGTTAGTAAACTAACCCCCACCCCTTTACTTTCCATTTACTCCAACCATAATCGTGATGGCAAAATATTGAACCTCAAGAATATGATCAACTGTTAATAACCGGTTGAATTTATTGAGATAACCTATTATGTGGAACATAACTGCTAAGGAAAACATTTATACCTAGTGTTGTTACGCAACTGGATATGCACTAATTATTACAACAGTTATGGTGTGCATGGCTATACCGCTATTGTACAAACTTTCAAATTTTAGTACTAACTGTATATTTGAAATGTAATTATGTTTAATTTACGAATTTACTATAGGTATTAAGAATATAACTTAGAATTGCCTGACGTTTTAACCAGGTTGCACTGGCCGTAGTCCCAGGCTGACTGGTTCAGCGGTGTGTGCCCTATGCCGTCGAGTTGGTGAGGTAGAAGTTTCTTCATCCACCCGCACTTCTTCGAAATTATTGATCTTTTCTTACCGCTATGTACCATCACATATTACAATATATGCATTAGTACTTATTTGGGGCGAAAGAAATCTCGGGCACTTTAGGGAGTTAGTGAAAAGGAAGTAAATAAGTTACATCGTCTCAAGAGCATATTATTTGAAAGATATAACTACTGTTTCTAAACACGTAATTAATTTGAACATGCGCAATATTTTTTATATTAATTAAGCTCTCTTGTATGAGTGTTTTTGTGTATAAGTTATCTGCAATGACTGCAATCTCATCAAATCATGTCTAAATGTCTGACTGAAAATGGAAAATGTGGGTTATCGCGGTAGCCTATATGTTTCCTCAAGATTCAAAGTATCACCATACCAAATTTTATCTAATTCGGTTCAGTGGTTATTGATTTCCCATGAAGACTTCCACCACCATTTTCACCCCATTTAAGGATGATTTATGGGATAAAAACTATCCTATGTCCTTTTCCGGGACTCGAACTATCTCAATGCCAAATTTCATATTAATCGGTCCAGCGGTTTATGAGTAAAGAAGTGACAGATAGACAGATAGACACACTTTCGCATTAATAATATGTAGTACTAGTATTACCAGAACTTAGTATGGATCTGATAAAAGATAAGAACGGCCGAGACTTTGTTTGCTCAACTTCTTGTCACAATGCTCAGCCAATTGGAAATGCTAGGTTATAAATTGATTTGACTTGTTTTTGTTTTTTTTTTTTAAATAACAGTGACAAAACGTTTAATGATATTAAAATTCAAATCAGTAGTGATCAATTTTATGAAAAAAAGAATCTGATTTTTTTTCTGCTGAGCGGATCATGGGTTCGATTACCACTCAGGAAAATTGTATGATGAGCATAATAATTTATTGTGTATTACCAGCGAGAGATTTAAGAGATTTTAAATTCTTTAATTCAAGATCGAAAGAGATCAGTTGCTACGGTTTGAAAAACTGTTTGAAGCTGCTCTCTTTGGTCTAGCTTTCGGTTATAAACTTCGGTTTCGGTTAGCTGGAGGGGTTAACGGGAATACTAGTAATTTCGGTTGCTAGCTAAAACCTAATAAAATGTTGTGCATTAATTATTAATATAATGGGTGCTTTAGATTTTAGTAAATAATGTCACAACTACTGGCTTTCCAATAACTAAATAAATTGCTTCTGCCTTGAGTAAATGTGTATTGAATTACATTTCTTTTTCTATTTTTAAAAAGTCAACTCCCGCATTAGGAATATATCCTGTGTCACGGGTCACTTTACAGACATACATGAAACGGACACAAAACACACCCAGGCTCAGAACAACACTGCGTGGATCACACAAAGTGTCGTCCCATGCGGGGATCGAACCCACAACACTCAGCGTAGTAGTAAGCGGTGTGGCGACCGCTCAAACCACTACGCCATCCGTGCAGTCGTGCACATTCTTAATTTATTAATTTATAGCTAGTATAACACCTGCTTGGTAAACGAAGATTTTTTCTATTGTTTTAGGCAAATATATGGTAGTTATTAATTTCTTATATCGCAACAGATTTTCAAGTTGGAATTAAATAGAGGGGTGATATCACAACCTCACAGGTAATCGGTTTTAACCATTTTTTTGTTGGCTTTTACCGAGTAAATGAAGTTACCGGAGCCTAACACCGCTCCCACCCAATCCAGGAGGAGGAACAAAGAGCGCATGCACTTTTATCTCTTTTTCTTAAAAAAAACTCACGCATTAGGAATATATCCTCTGTCGCGGGGGACTTTACAAACATACATGAAACGCACACAAAGAACGCCCAAACTCAGACCAACAATTTGTGGATCACACAAAGTGTCGTCGTAGTGGTAAGCGGCGTGGCGACCGCTTAAACCACTACGCTATGCGTGCAGTCTTGAGTTGCATGTGTCCATAGGCGGCGGTAGCCACTTGCCATCAGGTGACACATCTGCTCGTTTACCCCTATACTATTAACTCTCTCTTAATCATCCAATACTGTATCCAAAAGGTTCTCGACAAGATCCACGACAATACATGTTTCTATCCATCCAATCCAATATTGCGTATTAATAATAATAATCATACTCATACACACACACGGCCGTCTGCTCCAAAAAGAAGCAGAGCCTGTACTATGGTAACGAGACTGCTGATAAACATACTTATATATTTCTAAATACATACATATTGTAGTCTAGCTTTTACCCGCGACCCGTGTATGTCAGTTATCGCGGTAAAAAAGAAGCCTATGTCCTTTCTCAAAAATCAAACTATCTGTATACCAAATTTGATCGAACCTTCCACCTCCCTTTTCACCCCACTAAAGGACGATTTCTGGGATAAAAACTAACCTATGTCCTTTCCCGAGACTCGAACAATTATCATCATATAACAGCCGCAGCAGTCTATAACAGTCCACTGCTGTACATAGGCCTCTCCTTTGAAAGGAGGACTCAAACTATCTCTATAGCAAATTTCATCTAAATCGGTTCAGCGGTTTAAGCGTGAAGAGTTAACAGACAGACAGACACACTTTCGCATTTATACTCGTAATATTATTATGGATTATTATGGATAAGCTACACCCAAACATACAAAAAAAATGTGTTAATCGCATAATTGATTATCTTGGGTGGGAATCGAACCCACACCACGGCCTCTGACTCTAACAGTCAGAAACGAGCAGTCACATACGTATAAACGTATGTACATCTAACAAATTAATAACTTCAATATTACTTTATTTACTTAAGCAACTCCAATATTTTGCTATAAGTAAAAATCTAACCTACATTAGATTCGATTTTAAAGATGTAACACAAAGCCAAAAACTGAGAGTCCACGGATGGCGTAGTGGTTTAAGCGGCCACCACACCGCTTGCTACTACGCTGAGTGTTGTGGGTCCGATCCCCACATGGGAAGACACTTTGTGTGATCCACAAATTGTTGTTCTAAGTCTGGATGTTCTTTGTGTCCGTTTCATGTATGTTTGTAAAGTCCCCCGCGACACAGGATACATTTCTAATGAGCGAGTTGTCTTTTGTATAAAAAAAAATGTTTTTTTGGATGATTCTTTGTTGTTTAATTTCTGGAAATATCAGTTGGGTTAGTTTTTTTTTTAAATTTGATAGAGGATTAATTAAGAAATGCTCTAGGCTATAAAACTTTACGCTGTGAACTTTATGAGAAGAGCAGGACCTGTATACAATCGTTTTTTAAGTATTCAATTGTTAGATTCCTATATCCATAACATGGGAGCCAAAACACATAGAACCTAGAAACAATGGTCTTCGGTATCACATTCGCACAGCCAAGCAATAAAGAACTATTCTATCACTTACATTGGATCCCATACTGCAGGTGGGGGGCAGCATCCACCAACTGAGAGATGGAGGTAAACAGCCCTTTGTAGTCCAGGTTGGGGTACAAGGCCATCCGGTCCGCATCGCTGTCAGCATCTCTCATCATTTCCAACGGAGATCGAGGGACATCTATGAGCACTCCTGGTGGATGAGAAGAGTTTCAGGAACTTGGCACCTTCAATAATCTTAGTTGTAAATTGTTAGATAATCGATTAAATCACGTATAAATCGTATTTGCTAGTCTGCCATATTTTTTCACTCATTATCGTCTCCATGCAAAGGTTTTCTAACAAACTGCATTTAGCAAATGCGCTACTCAGTGTGATTACTCTTTTATCTACAAAGTGGCGTATACTAAGAAATTAATATTTTGGACATATATTGTTGAATATATGGGCTTCCAAATGAAATAAGATTTAATATAATAAACTTTATTATATAAATAAGATTTAAAAATAGATTCGACGTAAATATGACAAAAAGATAATAAAAATTATGAAATAATAAATATTTAAGAAGTCAACCATCTTTTTTTATCATTAATCAGAGCATAGTATATTATTTATTGAAATATTCACTTTCGGAGAGTTTCAAAAGCATTTTGGCTCCATCAAACAATTCCTTTCCTTCAGTAACCGCTGGGTGTTTTAAGCTTGAAATACATATATATAGATGTAATGTAAATAATAATTATATTAATAGAATTAAAAAAATATTAATAGAATGTAGCACATTATCATTAGTTGCTGAAAGTAAAACATTAGTGATGCTGGTGGCATCGTCGGTAATCTTTGCGCCTATTGGCAAAATTGCGAAATGCCTAATAACACTTTTTCCATGAATGCAGAGAAGATGGCATGTGTACCAATTATAATTTTTTACAAATATTTGAGCAGAATCCATTGCGTATTGACCGAATTTGGTAGGGTTTATTACGATTCCGGATAACATCGTTTGCAATATAATATATATCCATTTTATCAAACTTACGTCAACACCAGGGCCTCAATTCTGCTATTTTAATATTGTATCAATAGACTGTCGATGGCATGTCGTCGGAATAGTTTTGCACTTTTCCTATTCTACTAACTATGTAAGACCAAATGCCTTGCCTTGATGGCTTGTCACTGATACAAATGTCGTCGATGTCTATGTAACAGTTTGGTTAACGGTACATTTTAAATTTTGTAAGAAAATGATAAATTTCATTTTCCATGAATGTCAATGTTGTTGATATCACCATTGATGACTATTTCGACAGTCTATTGGCACTGTGAATTTATTTTAGTAGAATACTGATATTTTGACCGTTGTCAATGGCGTTTCAATGGCATCTCAATAGCGTGTCAATGGAACGACAGTGGCTTGGCGTTAACATAAAATAGCAGAATTGAGGCCTAGTAACATAATTTTTTTTTTCTTTTACCTCACACATTTCACACACGGCCGTCTGATCCCAAACTAGGCAGAGCCTGTGCTATGGTGACCAAACTGCTGATAAACATACTTATATATTTTTAAATACATAAAAATACACACATATTATAGATAAATTACACCCAGACACAGAACAAATGATCATGCTCATCACTCAATATTTGTCCTGGGTGGGAATCGAACCCACGGCCTCCGGCTTAGCAGTCAGGGGCACTAACCACTCGACCAACAGGCCTATTGACTGAACAACGATAGTTTCAAAAAAATTTCGCGATGTATGACCATCATTACTGTCGCCAGTTCCTTGTCGGGGTTTGTCTTATATAATAATCTAAAATTCTAAATAATATGTCGCACATCTAACACACAACGCCATCTAGTTTCAAACTAAACAGAGCTTGTACTATGATAGATGGACTGATAGGATATTTATATATATATATATTGTAAATATATACATATTATACATAGAAAACACCCAAACTCCGAAACCAATATTAGCAGAGCATACAAAAATTAGGTCCGACCCGGGTATCGAACCCGAGACCTCAGAACAGCAGTCGGATACGCTACCACTGCACCACCGAGGCAGTCAATATATCTTTTGCGATTATATTTGCTTTACTATCGACATCTCACTTCAAGTTGCTACCACAAAATTGACTGTGTTGTTTTTATCATGGCTTTAATTATCACACGCCATTATTAAATATCATTTTATTGTGTTCATTGTGTGGATACTATCGGAAAATACACCAGATACCAAAAACTGAAAATTTACCTCGTCTAATATTTTTGGGTCTAACAAAAAAAAAATTGCAAAAAGGAACAAAAATGTTTTTCCATGGAAGGTAGATTAATCAAGTATTTGAATGAGATAACTAACAAGACATAAACAGAGAGGCATCTTCAAACGAGATTATTGGCCTACGAAAAATACATATTATTGTGATTTTATTATAATAATAATAATAATATTCTACCACATTCACACTACGCCATCTAGTCCCAAACTAAGCAAACTTGTACTATGGGTACTAGACAACTGACATAAATACATATTATATACTTTTTGTTTGTAAATACTTACATGTTATACATAGAAACACCCAGACCAAATCAAACATTAAATATTCATGCACACAAATGCTTGACTTGAGCGGGAATCGAACCCGCGACCTTTGGAATAGCAGTCCGTTACACAAACCACTACGCTATCCGGTCGTCATATTTATTTTACACAATTACTTAAGCTTTGCTCTTTCTACAAATATATAATACATATATAGCTCTGAATGAAAAGTGTTTACGACACTTATTTGAAATGTCTGTATGAGTAATGCACTCGAACAATTTTTTTGACTCACTGCATTTCAGCAACTTATTTAACCGATTTAATAATATTTAAATTTCAAAAAATCAATCAAAATTTAATAAACTATCGATTTTCACCAAAAGAATTCGGTAATTACTTAACATCAGGTGACCCTAGGTGCTCGTTTGCCCCCTAAGGGTAGAAAAAATAATAATCAAGAAAGTACTAAATCAATTTGCGGCAAATTAAACAAAAATCTTTAACTAAGCTCTGTTTTGAAATAATACCTTCACTGAAAAAAAAACAGAGGCACTACAGGAGTGCCGACAGAAGTGGATTGAAGTGAAGTGAATATATACTCGTATCTATGTTGTACGTAATATATACACAATATATGTTAATATTATATATAGTCATATTATCATTGTATTTCAACCCGAACTCAACTCTCGTATAAACGGGGCCAATATATGTAGATACTTATATACAGAGGTGTCGGTAACGGTAACAGTGTCGCGAGTTCAATGGTTTTCCGTTCTCACAAAATACATTATTTTGTACGATTATTTGTTCATCAAAAATGTCCAAGAAGATTTCACTTCAAAAATCCGGTCGACCAGCTACGTACTAAAAATTAAGTGCTTTTTTTTATATTCTACCACATTCACACAACGCCATCTAGTCCCAAACTAAGCAGAGCTTGTACTATGGGTACTAGACAACTGATATAAATACATATATACTTTTTTTTTGTAAATACATACATATTAAACATAGAAACACCCAGACCAAATCAAACATTAAATGTTCATGCACACAAATGCTTGACTTGAGCGGGAATCGAACCCGCGACCTTTGGAATAGCAGTCCGTTATACAAACCATTACGCCATTCGGTCGTCATTTTGTGATACTTCATCATCATCAACAGCCTTTAACAGTCCACTGCTGGACATAGGCCTCTCCTTAGAAAGGAGGTTTTGGCCTACTATACCACGCTGGCCAGACGGGTTGGTATACGGTTTGTGTCAAGTTTTCCTTCTCTCTGCAGTGCTGGTGTCCTGCGTATTTCGCTCCCTTAGTCGCCTCTTACGACACCCACGGGATGAATAGGGGTGGTGACACTCTGTATTCTTAATCCGTCACCACACGGAAATGTGATACTTACTGAGGAGTGTTTGCGAGAAGTACTTGACGGTGTTGGCGACTTCAGTGCCGGATGGCAACGGTTGTATGTTGTGCATCAGGCGAAGCTGGAAGTCGTACAGGCTTCGAATCTTCGCTGTAACTGTACAATATTCATGTAAACACCGCATTTCATTTCGCTTTCAATTTAACATAAACTAATAAGAATACTAAACTTGGTAGTTGTGCAATAGAGAAGAAAGAAAGAAATACATGAAAGAGGGACAAATCGTTCTGTCACATGCAAGTAGAGGATTCGATCCCGGGATCCCGGATCTCGGGATCCCGGGATCCCGGTCATATTTTAGTCCCGAAATTTTCGGGATCAAATTTAATGAATCCCGGGATTTTCAGGATTGATACATTTTTTACATAAGTCAATAAAAATGTGCGTAAAAAGAAACGCACTTGCCTTGACTTGATGTTTTGACAGCCATCTTGTCTACACAGCTGATTTCATTTGTTTTTGCTAATGACCGGTTCTGGATTATGCGTAAAAGTGTGTAATTTATAAAGTTTCTGGGCAATTTAATTAAAAAATATGAGTGGGTATCTATAAACATTGGTCTTTTAAGCATATCGTTTTTTTTTTATAGTTTATCTAAATAAGTCTAAAGAAGTTGATTTTTTGAAGTTTATTGTTAGTTTCATAAATTATTTACCGCAACACAAAACAAACTAGGCACTAGTTTGTTTATTTTATGAGACGAAAGTATAATATTGGTTAACCGCCTTTTTGGAGATTTAAAACTTAAATATTCTATGTCCTCACAAAACTAAATGATAAACAAAAAAAATATTTTGATATGTTTTACTGTCTTTTTGTTACCACTTTCCATTGCCAATACAATCCCGGGACTATCCCGGGATCCCGAGATTAACTGAAGATAACCCCGAAATCCCGGGATTATAAAAATCGACCGGGATCGAATCCTCTACATGCAAGTGACGTGTAATTTACCAATCCTGTTTTGGGTTTAATTATTAAATAATGCTTTATCCGTGTACCTTTCCTAAGTTAATAAACTTCCCCAAATTAATTCAGGGCCTCAAATGAGTTTTCTTCTACCATTCTACTCTATCACTCGTCAGTTCACTGCTTCCTAGCCATCTCCTCTTTTACGCATCTCTTATCCGTCAATTTCCGTACATAAAACTTTCCTAACAACTTGCTGCCGAAATAATAAAGCTGAAAAGTTTATTTCTACTCCATTTCATGTTTAAACGTGCTAATCTCTAGAACTTTCAGTCAGATTAAAATGTTTTTTTTTTTTAATTGGATAGAGTAATTATATGGGAATAGCATAGACTATGAAACATTACGTCACGATCCTTAAAAGCGGAATGTATAAAACTGCGGGGATTCGCTAGTTATAACTACCATTTTTAATATCTATAGAAACACATAGGACTCTGAACGATGACATAATTTTTGCCTGTCTTTATTAATATCATTCCTTTACAAAATGGCCAAAACCTCCTTTAACGAATAGTGTCTTCACATGTGAACCTATTTAGAACCTTATACATTTCTTAAAACTTTTGATTAAGTTACATCCGTGTGGTGGAGGATTAAAAACACGTCATCACCCCTATTTATGCCGTCCGTGTTGTAAAGGAGCAAACTACACAGGACTAAAGCACTGCAAAAAGGAGGAAAACTTGAAACAAACCCTATACCTACGTACTAACTCGTCTGGCCAGCGTGGTATAGTAGGCCAAAACCTTCTTTGTAAAAAGAGGCCTATGTCCAGTAGTGAACTGTTACAGTGTGATGATTTTTTAATTTATTTTGCTCAATTTTAATCAAAATAATTATATTTGAAATCTAGCTGAGACCCGCGGTGTTATCCGCGTCTGTTGTTATAACCGCGGGCAACGCCGCGGGGCGAAGCTAGTCTAAAAAAAGTAGCCTAAGTTACTCCTTGTGTCATCAGCTATCTGCCAGTGAAAGTCCCGTCGAAATCGGTCCAGCCGTTCCAGAGATTACCCGAACAAACAGACACACAAAAATTGTAAAAAATATTATTTTGGCATATGTACCGTGTAAACATACATATGCATTTAGTAAAAAGCGGTTATTTTAATATTACAAACAGACACTCCAATTTTATTTATTTGTATAGATGCCATAAACGTAAATTTACTGCCTAATTTGTTATACTTAAACATAAATTATTCACCGATTGCAACCCCAAAAACAGGACAACAAATCTATTTTTTTTCTTAATACATACTTCTAGCCTCATACCTCCTTTCTAAGCAGAGACCCATGTCCAGCAGTGGACTATTAAAGGCTGTTGATGATAATGACATACATACTCTTGTCTGTGTTGATCTATGACTTTAGAGAAGATAAAAAAGAACTATTCAAAAAGGTCTATGTGTGGCGGAAGTCACTTACCATCAGCAGTGCTATTCTCTAAAGAAGCCTTGCGAACAGCGCTTTTTTTTAATGTGTGGCAACCCCCTCGGGCCGTCACCCTACCGGGGTTTGCGGCGGGATGGTGTGTCAGAATCGGACCGACTAAGCCGCAACGTCGAACTTCAAACGGCGTTCGTTTTAAATTCGGCGCTACAGCGATGCCACAGGGTCGAATTTCAAACTAAGTTAGTTTGAAATTCGACGCTATGGCAGCGCTGTACGCAAGGCTGTTTAATTAGAGAATAGCACTGCAGGTGACCCGACTGCTCGTTTGGCCTCTATGGCAATAAAAAAAAGGACCCGTCCATATTGCACATTAATTCTACGCAGTAGGTTACTAATAATAATCACTTTTAGAAAATATAATTATATTTCTTACATAAGTAAGAACATCTATATAGATAAAAATGTTATGTTGGGTTGTATATGCTTCAAAAACTCATAAAGTTCTGCACCGGTGGAACTCAAATGTCGGCACGATATCGCACACAGAGAATCAAACGAGTATACGAAATACGAGAGTATACGAAATTTGGCGAAATTTATTTATCACTCTCATCTAGTGACACTTTGCCTAAATTACATAGACTGCACGGATGGCGTAGTGGTTTAAGCGGTCGCCTACTAGGGCGAGTGTTGTGGGTTCAAACATGGGTTCCACATGGGACGACACTTTGTGTGATCCACAAATTGTTGTTCTGAGTCTGGGTGTTCTTTGTGTCCATTTCATGTATGTTTGTAAAGTCCCCGCGACACAGGATTTATCCCTAATGCGGGAGTTGTCATTTAAAAAAAAAACTTTTTTTTTTTTATCCATACATAAACTTTCATAGTGGTAGCATTATTAGAACTGGTGTTTATGACTTGTGTCGTTATGTAGTTTGGTGGGGTTGGTATAGTCTTTGACAGCACCATTGACATATTCTCATTAGTGATTAGTATGTGAAATTGTGTCTTTTTTGTTTAAGAACGGTATTCGTCAAAATTATAAGGTAAGTACCTTATAATTTTGACGAATAATTTAACGACGAACAAAATTATAAGGTAATCACTAATGAGAATCTTTGTTTTTATGAACAAGGCTTTTAAATGTAAAGTGACAGTTTTACCGTTATTTTCTTATGAATAGCGGCACAGTTTTTAGCGGCATTGTTACAATCTCAAACTATGCCTCTTCTTAATCCGAGGAAACGTAAAATAAAAGGAATAATTAAAGGAATTAACTCACAATACAATATTAATAGGCCAATGGAAGGTTCTTGACGTTCTTGCAGATAGAGGAAATTCCTCAAGACACTAGATTATTTTTATCTTTTAGTCCTTAATAACGGACATATTGACAAACATCAAAACAATATTGTGATATATTTAATAATACCATTATATCTATCAGGGACTTCCTTTCTAGGGTATACCTGGTTCCCCGGCTATTAGTACCCGAGACGGCGTGCGGTTTTAGTCGGTTCGAGTCCGACATGCCACCGACAGGTGGTATCCAAGGGGATTTCCGCACGGAAAACAAAAAAAAAAAGCCATATCATATATAGATATATAGATTTTGTATAAGTTTAATTTTATTTACATTTGCTTACTATTTGACAAAACAGAGATTGTTGCTTATGTGTGTGGTGATCTATGGCTTTAGTCTACATAAAAGACGATTTCAAACAATAAAAAAAAAAGAAATAAAGAGAGTTTGAGTTTACTTCTGGGAAAACCCTAGCTCTAAGCTCCAGTGCTACTAAAATCGAGACTAGGCAACACGTTTGAAGATCTGGTTCTTCTGACAGCCGTCAACATATCTGAGATTACTAACCGGCTTCTGATAATGAGAGAATATAAACGCAGCCGTTATGAAGATTCATGCTCTTCTAAATCCGATAACGCATTTCAGATACGAACAACATAGTTACAGTCTGGGCATCTTCATGAAAGTCACTCCTTCTTTACTAATGACATCAAGGTCTTCTAGTAAATCAAAATCATTCAGTTCATCAGGATAGCCTATCGATCTGGGTATTCTTCTATTACGGACTCTAATACTAATCACCGCCAAGAACTAATATGAACACATGAGACGGATTTTTGGTTGTATTACAACGATTTTGTTTTAATATACGAATGGTTCTTCAATAAATAATTGGTACTTGTGATAAGGATACTCCTACCAATCTTGTTTATTGGTTTGTTTATGCTGTAACTAGAATGGATTCGTTTAGTAGAGATTGAATAATAATAATAATAAATTGTTGTAGGCCCGTTGCTCTAGTTCGATTCTTACCCAGGACTAATATTGTGATCAGCATGATCATTTGTTCCGAGTGAAATTACTCATCAATATAATTTACCTCTTTATAATCTAATATCTTTTAAAAATCTATTGCACGAAAATGATTTGAAAGCATAATGCACAGAGATATCACTACTATAATAGCTAAAGCTACATGTCAGAATAAACAAACATTAAAAAGACATTCATCATCATCATCGACAGCCTTTAATAGTCCACTGCTGGACATAGGCCTCTCCTTAGAAAGGAGGTTTTGGCCTACTATACCACGCTGGCCAGACAGGTTGGTATAGAGTTTGTATCAAGTTTTCCTTCTCTTTGCAGTGCCGTTGTCCTGCGTAGTTTGCTCCGTTAGTCGGCTCCTACAACACCCACGGGATGAATAAAGGTGGTGACACACCGTATTCTTAATCCGT